TGATGACGTCTGTAGATGCATCATGAAAGCATCTGGCTGAAAAGATGACTCCCAGTCTGCAGAAGTTTGGCAGAAGAGGAATATCTTAGCATGATGACCACCATTAGCACAAAATCACGTGAGAAATAAGTGACAAATGGGAAAGCACGTCACCTGACCTGAATCCAGTTAAACCGCTTTACAGTTTAGGAAGACAATGGTAGAAAGAAACTCCTTCACTGAAGATGGCATTCTACATGCTGAGGAGAACTAAGTCAAAAATAATGGTGGACAAACACTCACCGGCCACTTTATTAGGTACACCTTGCTAGTACCGGCTTGGACCCCCTTTTGCCTTCAGAACTGCCTTAATCCTTCATGGCATAGATTCAACAAGGTCCTGGAAACATTCCTCAGAGATTTTGCTCCATATTGACATGATAGCAACACGCAGTTGCTGCAGATGTGTCGGCTGCACATCCATGATGCGAATCTCCCGTTCCACCACATCACAAAGGTGCTCTATTGGATTGAGATCTGGTGACTGTGGAGGCCATTGGAGAACAGTGAACTCATCGTCATGTTCAAGAAACCAGTCTGAGATGATTGGCGCTTTATGACATGGTGCGTTATCCTGCTGGAAGTAGCCATCAGAAGATGGGTCCACTGTGGTCATAAAGGGATGGACGTGGTCAGCAACAACACTCAGGTAGGCTGTGGCGCTGACACGATGCTCAGTTGGTACTAAGGGGCCCAAAGCGTGCCAAGAAAATATCCCCCACACCATTACACCACCACCAGCAGCCTGAACCGTTGATACAAGGCAGGATGGATCCATGCTTTCATGTTGTTGACGCCAAATTCTGACCCGACCATCCGAATGTTGCAGCAGAAATCGAGACTCATCAGACCAGGCAACTTTTTTCCAATCTTCTGTTGTCCAATTTTGGTGAACCTGTGTGAACTGTAGCCTCAGTTTCCTGTTCGTAGCTGACAGGAGTGGCACCCGGTGTGGTCTTCTGCTGCTGTAGCCCATCCGCCTCAAGGTTCCACGTGTTGTTCGTTCAGAGATGCTATTCTGCACACCTCGGTTGTAACGAGTGGTTGTTTGAGTTCCTGTTGCCTTTCTATCAGCTCCAACCAGTCTGGCCATTCTCCTCTGACCTCTGGCATCAACAAGGCATTTGCACCCACAGAACTGCCGCTCACTGGGCATTTTCTCTTTTTTGGACCATTCTCTGTAAACCCTAGAGATGGTTGTGCGTGATAATCCCAGTAGATCAGCGGTTTGTGAAACACTCAGACCAGCCCGTCTGGCACCAACAACCATGCCACGTTCAAAGTCACTTCAGTCACCTTTCTTCCCCATTCTGATCGTCTTGACCATGTCCGCATGCCTCAATGCACTGAGTTGCTGCCATGTGATTGGCTGATTGCGTTAACGAGCAGTTGGACAGGTGTACCTAATAAAGTGGCCGGTGAGTGTATGAATTACTGAAAAAACAAGATTTGAAACTCATTATCGAAAGGCTTACTGACTTTTGCTGTGTTGAGTTCCTACTGTGGGGCCTGTATTTTTAATATACTAAACTTCAACTATTAGTTATTTTCCACAAGACTAAATACCCTACTGTTAAATTTAGAAATAATGCAATTCTGTCATTTCATGGTAGATCCTTAACAAATTCACGGTAGTAGTTTTCCTTTCGTCAACACTTCTTTTAAAGCAAAATAAGTCGTCTACAATCGACTGCCAGTTTAGGTACAGCGAACTAAAACCACTGTACATACATGCATCAATCCTGACGTTAAACTTTCCATCACAAAGATAATAATGTTCAGTTTTTGTCAGGTCGGTTGTTGTTTCAGAGAAGCGTCGATGTAAGTGTACGGACATTTTGGAGGCTGCAGTTTGAGGTCAGGGGCTTTCATCCAAAGAGGAATGTTTGGCGCTCCACAAGGAGGTTTTAGCCAGCGTTGAAATGATAAGCATTACTGTATAAGAAGGTAGCGTCGCCTTTACTGTATGCAGACTGATCACTGTTACTGACTTGCCTTATCGCCCTCCAAAGATCTGAGCCAGAACAAACCTGGAGGTCTGGCTGAGTTGTGTAATGTTATACTGTGTGTGGTTTATGATATTTTGTCGACCATTACTGATAAAACGGAATATTGGACATACCTCAGTAAAACACAGTCCAGTTCCACAAACTGTAAAATTCAATCAACACTTGCGTGAAAGAGCTAGAACGACAATTTAAAGCTACACCATGATATAAGTCGGGTTTATTGTAGGACAACAGGACACGAAGCTGCATTTAGTTCAGCCAGATGTACCTAATAAACCGACAACTGGGTGTAGAAGACGATGCAACAGACAGAATGTAAGGCAAAAACATCATCAAACATCAGCAACAACATGGTCTCAGTATTTACCAGGGTTACCATTATTAAGCTGTTAGCTAACGAGCTAATGTGCAATAAACAAAGCACATGTAAAACTAATGAGAACTAGCTTTCTAGGAGTTTGGTATAAACCAAAGAGTTGGACAAAATCAACTTTTGACCTCATGACGATGCTACATAAAAAGAAAAAGGATCGAAATCTGTCATTTTTCAGATTATTGCTATTGTTTTTTTATAAAAACTGACTCCTGATCAAATATTTACTTATTAAAAAGCAGTAAAAAGCACTACTTTAAGCTGGATACACCCCTCAGGCTCATCAAATAATTAGATTCTAACTGGTTACACAATACAAGTAATAGCCAATCAACACTAAAGGACAAATGTCAAAAACATCTGTTTCAATAAACACAAGACAGCGAAAGTCTTGATTTCATTCATCAGGTGAATAGGAGATGGCAAAGTACTTCATAAAGTTTTAAATAATTTCCTGCACACTGTCCTAACGTGCAAATATCTATTTATTCGTGATGTTTCAGTGCAGCAAGACCTTCATCAGGAAATGATTTCGCATAACTCGATTTGAAATGAAACAAGCATAAGTAAGCAAGTTTAAGTAAGTTTGTTCTAAATTTTGACACCTGAATTTCCATTTTCACTGCTCCAAATATCGCTTATTGGTCGCATTGACGAATAATTGTTGGTATTGGCCTTTTAAAACCTCATCAGTTGACCCCTGCAAAGAAGATTTTGCAATTCGTCCTGAAGGGAGCGTGAACGTGTGCAGCACCCAGCAGCTATTAGTGCAGTTGTCAAGTAAATGTCAAACTTTTAAGTCAAAAGGACTTTGATGACTATATACACCTGAACACAACATAAAGGAAACAAAGAACATTTCAACAAAAGGGTGTTAAAACAAGATCATTCTTTGGGAATCAT